TTGGTGCATGTTAAGTGGTCAGTGCCCGAGTTTCTGAGATCAGCACCAGGAGAGCCTGGATTATTCAGATATCAGCATTCAAGGACCCATAAGTCATCTCCGATTCTGCAACCCCATAGACTGTAGCCTGCCAGGCTCCTTTGTCCATGGAATTCTCCGGGCAAGAACACTGGAGTAGGTTGCCATTTCCTTCTCCAGGGGATCTTCCCAACCCAGGGATCGAACCCTGGCCTCCTGCGATGCAGGCGGATTCTTTGTGTCCGAACCACCAGGAAGTTCTGCATCCCGCAGAAGCAATGGAGAAAGTAGGTTTCCTGCGCTGTCCGTGGTGCTGAAATCTTTCATGTGGACCTATCCGTGGTGCTGAACGCCGCGCGCTAGCTGTCCGTGGTACTGAACCTCTGGGAAAACGAGCTGGAGATTCTCTCTCTCCCCACTCTCCTTCCTCCGTCCCTCCCTCTCTGTCACTTTTCAAAGTACACATCCTCCTGACCCTGCTGGTGCCTGGAAACAAAGCTCTCTGGGCTCTGGTGAGCGTGGAATGAATGCAAAAGAGCGAAAAACAAACGAAGAAACTGCAGAGTCATTTTGGCTCTTAGGAAGGCAGGACCTGGCTACTTCTTACTGGAATTACTAACACAAAGTTTCCAAAGCATCTGTGAGAGAGAAATGCACAAATGTATAAGAAGGAAAACATGAAAAAGATGTGCCAGGACTCAGGTTGTTGGTTACGTTAGATTGGGGGCGGCAGAGAAATGAGATGGGGAAAGCTCGATGAGTACGTGTGTGTGTGTGCGCGCACGCGCGTGCACGTGCATGCACTCAGTCACCAAGTCATGTCTGATTCTTTGTGACCCCATGGACCGTAGCCCATTAAGCTCCTCTGTTCATGGGATTTCCCAGGCAAGAATACTGGAGTGGGTTACCATTTCCTCCAGGAAATCTTCCAGACCCAAGGATCGAAACCGTATCTTTTGCATTGCAGGCAGATTCTTCACTACTGAGCCATCAGGAAAGCCCCTATATATATAAGTATATGTAACTTACTAACGAGGCTTCGTTTTGATCTTGTGAGGTGGGGACTGCAAGGATATTATTGAAATTTATATAAATACATCAGGGCTATATTTCATGCTACCTTGAATTATAAACATTTGAAATCAGGACCTTTTTAGTGGCACTTTTTGAAATGACAAGAAGCCTTTTGCAATTAAAAAAAACTCAAAAATCCATACTTGCAAATGACTGTGTAAACTGTGTTGCTTCGTATCATTTTAGTTGGTGAATAAATGTGCCGACCATCTTTCATTAGGGTTAGTCTCAAATTATGTGGGACTTGAATTGGGTAAGATTAAAAATAAATTTTTTCCCCCATGCCACAGGGCATGTGGGATCTTAGTTCCCTGACCATGGATCAAACCCACACTCCCTGCATTGGAAGCATGGAGTCTTAAGCACTGAACCATCAGGGAAGACCTGAAAACATACTAATTTTGTTAAAATGATTAACAAAGCCCAAAAGTTCATGACAGATCATCAAATCTCTCTCTTCTTTTCTTTTTTGACTGCAATATCTTAGTTCCCCAACCAGGGATTAAACCTTTGCCCCCTGCAGTGGAAGCACGGAATCTTAACCACTGGGCCACCAGGGAAGTCCCAAGATCCTCAAATCTCAGCATGGCAAAACTCAGGGATAAAGTTGGTTTTGCTTGAATTCCAGGTTTACAGGAAGCGTTTTCTTATCTGGGGCTCAGGAGTAAGGGTGCAAACTGACTTTCCTTCCTGACTGTGGCATACTGTGACAGGGTTTGGGCAGGGCTGGTTTCTCTGGAGGCCTCTCTCCTTGGCTTGCAGATGGTGGTCTTCTTGTGGCCTCTTCACGTGTCTGTTACTCTGCCTACGTGTGGCCTCGTGTTTCTCTCTCAGAAGGACAGAAGTCCTTGGTTTAGCACCCAGACGTATGACCTCAGAGTCCTATTTATCTTCAGTGCAGTCATGTTCTGAAGTTACTGGGTGTTAAGGTCTCAACATTCAAATTCGGGGGGAACATGTGCAATCTACAACACCCCCAAACGGCTAGAAACTGAGCCTTTTATAACTGTGGCTGCTGTCTCCCTGGTACTGGGGAACTTGAGCACTCGCTTTGCATTTTGCGGGGCGGGGGAGACAGCGACCCCTCCTCCCCCATCCCCTCTTCACTTTCCTTCCTTCCTGCTGCTGAGTCAGTCCTGCCAGAGACCGCATTTCCCACTTGCAACCGGGAGGGGGCGTGAACCCCTCCAGTGCTGAGACTGCTGTGTCCAGGAAAACCTGGGCCACCGCCAGCTGCCCTTCCCCCATCCGCTGCCTGGATGCTGTGGTCCTGGACGTGCCCCTAGACGACATCTCCCAGCCGCCACGTAGGTCTGAGGGGAGCCGGCTGTGAACCACGAGGCACATGAGGGGACACACTGGGCCGCTTCTCTCAGGGGATCCTCCCCACCCAGGGTTCAAACCTGTGTATCCTAGATCGGCAGGAGGGGTCTTCACCACTGAGCCGGCTGGGAAGCCCAGAGATGCCCAGCGCCCCCATTTTAAAGTACAGTGAACCGTGGCACAGAGGGCTACAAGGAGCCCGCCCAGTCACGGCTGGTGCTCACCCACGTGAGCTCACACTCGCCCTGGGAGCCACGGTCACTCTCCTGGCCACACACTACCCCCCAGCCCCGAGCAGGAAACTGGTCACCTGACATCTGGTCTTGCCGATGGAGACCAAAGTTGAAGCAAAGAGATGTGACCTGGAGCCCAGAGGACAGACAGGACTGAAGGCCCTCCTGGTGACCAAAGAAATGTCAGAACAGACATTTGTTGTGCAGCAGAAGCGCACGGTCATGACAAAGATCAGAGAGGCCATCCGACTTTAAATGTTAGCCTCCGGCAGCATCATGACCTTGGGGCTGGCTTCTCCCCGACCGTAACCCGGGTGGAACCGACCCCACAGCCACGTCGAGGGTGGACGGTGGTTTCAGGCCGATCTGGGCAGTCACTCACACTCATTCCCCTTCCCCAGCTACTATTTCGGGGATGAGGGTGAGACCCAGATCTAAGCCAAGCAGCATGTGGCATTCCTCTCCTCAGAATATTCAGTTCCTGCTGAGTACAACTGAAAGAAACTTAGCGCTGTTTTGTGGGGGTTTTTTTGCCAATGACTGGAAGATACCTGTCTCCAACTGGATGTGACTGAGGAAATGTGTCAAGAGGAGCTGTTGGAAACCACATGAAGCCACGAGGAAAGCCAGCCTGAGGACGAGACCAGGGGGTGAAGGGAGTCAGAGCTGTGGCTGATGCACGGTGCCTGGATCAAGCCCACCCTGATGCCCACACCCTGCCAGACATTCAAAAACTGTTCATGCTTATACATGGCTGAGTGGCTGCTTGTTTGACCTGCAACACGAAGTGCACTTATGTAAAAAGTGAAAGCGAAAGTTCCTCAGTCGTGTCCGACTCTTTGTGACCACATGGACTATATCATGGAATTCTCTAGGCTGGAATACTGGAGTGGGTAGCCTTTCCCCTCTCCAGGGGATCTTCCCAACCCAGGTCTCCCAAATTGCAGGTGGATTCTTTACCAGCTGAGCCACAAGGGAAGCCCAAGAATACGGGAGTGGGTAGCCTATCCCTTCTCCAACAGATCTAAGTGGTTGCTTAAAATGAGTTATTTATTCTTCGTGAACACTGGCATCAGGAAGTGTGGGACATTCAGACATACCAGAACATTTGTGACCAGTAGCACTGAACATTAAAGTAACAAAAGTGGTGGAAAAGGCCCCGGTATTCCCTGCTGGCCGAGTGGTTAGGGCTCTGGGTTTTCACTGCCTTAACCTGGGTTCGGTCTTTGCTTAGGGAACTGAGATCCTTCAAGCCTGCAGCTAAACCAACCAGCCAAACAAAAAAGGCCCCAGAAAGAGGAGACCCAGGGAACTCGATGTGTACACAAAGCTTCAGGCCAAGCTGAGTACATTCCTTCAAGTTCAACTGCAAAGACAACTATGAAAAGAGACTCCAGCACGCAAGCTTATTGAATCCAGTAAGTATTTAACCCTGAATATTAGGCCTGCTGCTACTCACTCCCCCACCTTCTCCACAAGCACTGAAACCGACTTCGACTGCACACCCGGTTCCTGTTTCTTTCTCGCCTGATGACTGTTTAAAATGACGTTGGACTTGCTTCGTGAAAAGTTTTACTGAAAAAATTTTGAACAGACCACCATGAGAAACTTTGGCATCTGAAGCAGTCACTGTTATTGCTAACTCTGAATAAAAAACTCCCCCACCCCCCACGAATAACTTGCCAGCTTCTACCACTTGTTAGCCTGGAGTGGGGTGGGGTCTTCCGGGACGGTTCAGCGAGGCTGCAGCGGGGCTGGGATGTGGAAGGATGGAAGGATCTTAGGGAACTCACAGTTGGTGACCGCCTGGTTAGGGCTAGACCGCGGGTGTGTGTGCCTAGAGGAGAAAAGTCCCCACGCTCTTATCCAGACACCTCCTCCACGCCCCTCCCCACCGTACTATCAGCACGGAGACCGGAGGCTGGAAACGCTCCAGCCCGGCGCTTATTTACTGAGAGCTCGGATTGGAACTCTGGCGCTCCGGGTTCCTGGTGCTCCCCTGGGTTTCCAGCCACATCCAACTTCGCAGCGTTCCCAGTACACTGGGCACGGAGGAGCTTGCCTTCTGGTACAGAGATGAGGACGCCGGGCCAAGGAGCGCACATAAACCGGGAGCCGGTCCTGGACCCCCGAATCCTAAGACTGTGTGGGGCTGCGCCACCCTGGGCCCCCAAATCAGAGCGCTCCCGCTTACAGCCGAGGTAAGGACCCGCCCTCCTGGTGGAGATTCAAGCTAAGGACCCCGCCCACCTGGCGGAGACTCCGCGCAGAGGACCCCGCCCATCTGGGGGATTCTCCGAGGTAAGGACCCCGCCCACCTGGTGGAGACTCCGATCCTAGAACCCCGTTCACCTGGTGCAGATTGGGGGGGCCCAGCCTCCCTAGATGTGGACCCTCAGGTGCCCCGTGAGGTTGGTGTTCCGGCTGAAGGTCTTCCCGCACTCGCGGCAGGCGTAGGGCTTCTCCCCGGTGTGGATCCGCTGGTGCGCGGTGAGCGAAGCGTTCTTGATGAAGGCCTTGCCGCACTGCGCGCACAGGTAGGGCTTCTCGCCCATGTGGATGCGCTGGTGCTCGATGAGGTAGGCACTCTGGCCGAAGGCCTTCACGCACTCGCCACAGGCGTAGGGCCCACCTGGTGCACCGCCAGCGACGAGCGGCCCGTGAAGTGCTTCTTGCAGACGGGGCAGGCGTAGGGCTTCTCGCCGGTGTGCAGGCGCTGGTGCTGCGTCAGGGCCGAGTTCTTGCTGAAGGCCTTGCCGCAGCGGCCGCACTCGAAGGGCTTCACGCTGATGTGCAGCCGCTTGTGCTGGATCAGGTAGGAGCTCTGGCTGAAGGCCTTGCCGCACTCCCCGCATGCGTATGGCTTCTCGCCCGTGTGTGTGCGCCGGTGCACCGCCAAGTGCATGCCCTGGCTGAAGGCCTTGCCGCAGTCCCCACACGCGAATGGCTTCTCGCCCGTGTGCACCCTCTCGTGCTGGGCCAGGGACGAGGTCTTCCGGAAGGCCTTGCCGCAGCCGCCGCACGCGTACGGCCTCTCGCTGGTGTGTGTGCGCCGGTGCACCGTCAGGTTCATGCGCTGGCTGAAGGCCTTGCCGCAGTCCCCGCAGGCGTACGGCTTCTCGCCCGTGTGCACGCGCCAGTGGACGGTCAGCGACGAGTGCTCCAGGAACTGCTTCCCGCACGCGTCGCACGGGAAGGGCTTCTGGCCGGTGTGGATGCGCTGGTGCTTCGTCAGCGACGAGCTGCGGCCGAAAGCCTTGCCGCANGCACGCGTAGGGCTTCTCCCCGGTGTGGATGCGCTCGTGCTTGCGGAGGCTGGAGCTGCGGCTGAAGTCCTTGCCGCACTCGCGGCAGGCGTAGGGCCGCCTCCCGCTGTGCGTCTTCCCGTGCTGCGCCAGGGCCGAGCTCTGGCGGAAGGCCCGGCCGCACTCGCGGCACGCGTACGGCTTCTCCCCGGTGTGGATGGCCTGGTGCCGGAGCAGGTGCGAGCTCTGGCTGAAGGCCCTGCCGCACTCGCCGCACTCGTAGGGCTTCTCCCCGGTGTGAATCACCAGGTGCCGGAGCAGGTGCGAGCTCTGGCTGAAGGCCTTGCCGCACTCCCGACACGTGTACGGCTTGGCGGGCTGCGCGGTCCTGGGCGGCCCCTTGGGCCCTGAGTCCCCCCTGCCCGCCGCCTCCCCGACAGGCAGATCAGCAGCTTCCCCGCTGCCCGTGATCCGGTATGCAGTCGGGTCTGATTTCTGGAGGAAGGCCGGGCCAAACGGCTCATCGTCCTGGGCCCTGTCTCCTGGGGGGACGCTCTGAGGCAGAATGGGGCTCGAGCACAGATCGAAGTCCCCCCGGAAATCATCCTGCTCCCCGCCTTGCTCCCCGAGAGGGATCTCCTTGTAGATGACGGCCATCTGCTCCAGAGCCCTCCCCTGAAGAAAAGGGGCCCCCAGGTCCTCCTCTGGGAACAGGTCTGTCTGCATGTCCAGCCCATCTGCAAACACGAAAGCCTCACCCAGCTTGGCAGCCAGGGGGATCTCCACTGAGGGTCCAGTCATCCCAGTGGCTGGATCTGTCTGGGACACACACAACTGCTCTTGGCTTCTGAAAAGAAAACAAGAGACACAGTCAAGTCAGGAGGTCAAGCACCAAGCAGGTGCCAGAGCCCAAAGGAGACAGAACCAAAGACACAACCTTGCCCTCGAAGACGGTCCTTGGTGAGTCAGAGACTTACCAGAAATAAGTGCAAGGGAGGCAGAGAGACAGACAGACAATGCCGCACACTAGTGTCCAGACTCTAAAGGTTCAGGGTGCCGGCAAGATGGGCGAGGACACAAAAGGGAGCCATTCTGGAAAAGGGGCAGGAGTCCGGCCCCCAGAGAACACGGGGGCTGGGGTCTTGCTGGGAGAGCACTCGTTTGCCTCCTGTGGGTGGGCTGCATCCCTCCAGCCCGGAGCCCCAGCCGGAACCCGGGAATCAGATCATCCCAACACCCGCCCCTTCCATGTCCTGAGGCCTCACTGAAGGGGTCTCTGCCTCTCTCCAGGCTGACCCTGATGGATGCCCATCTCCAGCTTCCCCCCTCCCTCCCACATCTGTTCTCTACGTGGACACCAGGGTAAAACGCCTACACCTAGTCCTGATGGTGGCGTGCCCCTTCTCAGGAGCCTGTAGCAGCTCACACCCTCCACGCCCAGCCCTGTGGCCCCATCCCCTGCTCCCACACACCCTTATGCGTCCGGCTCCACAACTCGTATGAACTGCTCTTTCCTCCGCCTGAACTACTCTTTCCTCCGCCTGACTGGTCCCCCCACCACAGGCTTCTCACGTGGCCACGTGCTCATTTTTCCAGACTCAGTCCAAACGCGCCCTCTTCTCTGCACCCTCAGACCCTGACAATCTCAGGCACATGACCCTAGTGACCTCAGGACATGGGTCCATCACACACTGGGCACCCGCAGGGCAGGCATCCTGGCAGGACCCCCCACAGCACTGCCTGTGAGCTCCCGGAGGGCAAGTCTGGGGTTCCTCTGAATTGGAAGCCCCAGCTCCCAGCACAACCGCTTCATCTCTACATGCACACATAAATTGAATAAATAAATGACTCAACAGAGGAAAAGACATTTGCTTTTGTGTTAGTACTGCTTGCCACACTTTTATTTTGTTGCCAAAGAACTTTGTATTCAAATAAGTCAATTATGTCTGAGCTATGTTTTTTCCAGTAGTCATGTACGGATGTGAGAGTTGGATCATAAAGAAGGCTGAGTGCCAAAGAATTGATGCTTTCGAACTGTGGTGTTGAAGACTCTTGAGAGTCCCTTGGACTGCAAGGAGATCAACCACTCAATCCTAAAAGAAATCAATCCTGAATATTCATTGGAAGGACAGATACTGAAGCTGAAGCTCCAATACTTTGGCCACCTGATGTGAAGAGCTGACTCATTTGAAAAGACCCTGATGCTGGGAAAGATTGAGGGCAGGAGGAGAAGGGGATGACAGAGGATGAGATGGTTGGATGGCATCACCGACTCAATGGACATGAGTTTGAGCAAGCTCCAGGAGATGGTGAAGGCAGAAGGCCTGGTGTGCTGCAGCCCGTGGGGTGGAAGAGTTGGACACAACCGACTGCCTGAATAAGAATCTAGGAGATATAAATGAATACAACAAACAAAAGCAGAGCTGCTTTATGTTGAAGGGGATGTCTTCATAGGGACAAGAGAAGGACACCCCCACTCAGCACCCCGACCCCACTGTGGAGCCCCAAGGGAGCCCCACAGGACCCCACTCAGAAACTGTGCAAGCTCCAAGGAGACTCTTGAGGTACCAGAATTTGTCGATGACAACTTGAGGTTATTGAGCACCTACGGTGTGCAAGGCACTGCTAGGCCTTCTACAAGCATGTCTCATTTACTCCTCAGGACTCCATACAAAGGTACACTTACCCTAACACGGAAGTTCAGAGAGGAATGGCCTCAAGAAGACACAGGAAATTAATCAGGATAGTCACGGCGGAACTCATTCCTAGTTGGAATCTTTTTAATAAAATGTTTATTGGAGTCTAGCTGATTTACAATGTTGTGTTTGGGATTTTTTATTCTATCTTTAATTGGAGGATAATTACAATATCGTCTTGCTTTCTGCCATACATCAACATGCATTGGCCAGAGGTACACATACGTCCCCTCCCTCCTAAACCTCCCTCCCACCCCTCTAGGCTGTCACAGAGCATAGGTTGATTTGTTTTGTTTTCAGTGAATTTTCAGCCAGGTGTGGAAAAAAGCATAGAACCAAAGCATCCTCCAGACGTCTACGCTCACTCCCATTCCTCTTCACGACCCCCATCTCCACCGCTCCCGCTCCTCAAACCTCACCCCATTTCCACCCTGGCCCACCCCTTCCCCGTTAAGCTTAGACCTTCTTTACTTAGGCCTTCTCTAGCGGGCCCACCTATGGGTGTCACTGCAACCAGCTCTCTGACCAGCCTAACGTTCCTCACCTTCCTGCCCTGCTGCAACCCGCCACGAACTACCCGCCTCCCCCGCCAGCTCCTAAGACGCTGAACGTCGCCAAGGAAAATCATACGACCTGTGGCTGGCACGGAGACAGATTTCAAGTTTCCATTTTCAGCTGGCGCTTCAGCTCCAGCGTCCAGTGACCTCCTTGCAGCTGGCCAAGCCCTCTCTTCTGGGTCTTCACTTTCCGCGCCCCCCCCCCCCCCAACTCTGGCAGATGCCCCAAGACCTCCTTTTCAAAAAACCCTCTGTTTCAGAGACTGCAAATGGGCAGCCTGGAGACCCTGTCACAGACGTGTTGTGCCTGGTTCTCAAAGAGCCACGCTTTTCCTTATTTGTTTGACTCAGCTGACACAGTATTTACAACTCTGTAGGTTTTCTCGCGAAGAGCTGGAAGATGTGACGATACAGGGCCCAGCCTTTGCTTACTCACAGGGGCGCTGGATAACCGACCTCCCCACTCCCAAGCCCCCTTTCATTCCCTTGGTTTCTGAAAGCTCCTCTCCCGCTAATTTTCCCGCCCCGCTGGCCCCTCTTCCTCAGGATCTGGGGAGTTGTGACCTCCACCCACCTGCTAAGTCCTGGTTTTTCCATTCCCCCTAGGTGCCAGCTCCCTGCTAAAGTCTCCGCCGTGTTGAAAAAGTTGGCGACCCTTTTATCTGTGCCCAGCAATGTTTTCACCGATGCTCTGAGGCCGAAATACCCAAGGTCTGATACCCCGCGCTTCCCACCTCTCTCGGGCCTTCCCGGCTCCTCCGGCCTCTGTCACTCCGTCCTCCGGGGCTCCCAGGGCCTGGGCACCGGGCCGGCCCCCGGGGCCCGTCCTCTGGGCTGGAGGCTCGAGAGTGGCCGCGGCCCCGCACCTGCTCCCAGCGCCGGGGGCCGCCCACACCTGTGCCCCCAGAGGGACAGGTGGCCGCTCTCCCGGGCCGGGGCGGGGCCGCTCTCCCTGGCGGGGCGGGGCCGCACCTCAGCGCCTCCAGCCCCGCGCCCGTGGCCTCGCTCGGCCGCGGCTGCTGACGCGAGCCCGAGGCCCCGCCCCGAGAACCGGGCCCCGCCCCCGCCCGCGGCACTTCCGGGGCCGCTCTAGGCCGCGCGGAGGCCCGCGTCTCACTGGTCCCGCCGCCTGAACGCAGGACTCGGGGTCGGGGAGGCCAGTCCCGTGGGCGCGCGGCTCTTCTGGCGGTCCCCAAGCGCGTCCCGGCCGGCTGGGAGGACGTCGACCAGGCACCTGTCCTGCGGGTGGGGCCGGCCGGAGGCCAGGGGTGGCGCTGGGGTCCCCGGGAGAAGGGCAGGCGTGCCCATCACCCCTGTTGGGATTTTCCACCGGCCCTTTCGTGGGGAGCCCGGGACCCGCCTACCCACCTCATCCCCTCAAAGACCGATGAGAGCCCAGGAGATGGCTGGGCGCCTGGGCGGGACCCTCTCGTGCATCTGAGGGGTGGTCCCCCTGTTCAGGTGGCGCCTCTTAGAGGAACCAGGAGAGAAGAGAGCTGTGTTCCTCAACCCCCCACCCCCGCTCCCACGGCTAAATTCTGCTTCTGGTGGCAAGACTGCCCCTCCACCCCAGGAGGGCTGCTGCCCATGCCGCCCCTGCCCTCTGCCCACCTGCCTTCAGCGCCCTCAGGTGCCTCTGAGTGCCCATGCACACACTCACACCTGCCTCTTTGCCCTACCCAGGAGCAGGCAGGAGCTTCCGAAGACCCAGTCCAGTCGCCCCCGTTGAGTGTTGGACCCCAACCAGCCATGCAGAGCCAGGACTAGCGAAGGCTGGTTCCTCTTTCTCTCAGCTCCTCCCCTCACAGAAAGGCAAGAGCCACCAGTCTGAGCCCCTGGGGGCTGGTGGGGAGGCTGGGCCCCATGCCAAGGTTCTCAGGTGCTTTCTCTTCTGCAGTAATCCCCAGGATCATCCCTACCCCCACACCCCCGGACGCAGGGATCTCAGGACCCTCAGCAGTTATTGTTGACATGGTGAATATTATTAACCCATTTCACAGAGGAGGAAAACAGAGGCTCAGAGAGAGGGTCCCAAGGTCAGGAGCAGAAGTGGGAGGCAGATGGAAAACACTCATCCCACACCCCTAGAATAAGTCGCCCACAAAGCAGTAATAATCAGCATCATCTTCGGGCTGCACGGGGCTGATGGTCAGGATGCAGGTGTTGTGGGCTGTATCCGCAGCTGCGGAGAAGCGGTCCGGGATGCCAGGGGCCCGGTGTTGGTCCTCCTCTGAGCGGTAGTAGAGGAGCAGGCGGGGGGCGCTGCCTGCTCGCTGTTGATACCAGGACACGCCGAGGTCCCCGATGATGGCGTAACGGGGGCTGATGGTGCAGGACAGTTGGGCCACTTGGCCTGGGAAGACCTGCAGTGCTTCTGGCTTGGTCAGGGCTGGCTGGAAGGCTGAGAGACACACACTCAGGTCTGGCCTGGGCCCCTTCCCTCCGGCCCTTGCCCCACAAAGCCTGGGTCAGACTCCCCAGGAGAATCTGCTCCCAAAAGCTCACAGCTCGTACTGTGGAATCAGCACTGGGTGGGCCACAGAGCGGGCAACCCTTAAGCCCCGTCTTCCCAAGGAGCCATGTGCAGCTAAGGGTCCAGAATTCAGAGGGTGGGCTGGTGGCCTCTGGGTCCTCCTGCTGCCCACCCTCACCATTGCCCTGCAGACCCCCATCACTTAGGTCACACTGGCTTGTCCGAAACCTGGCTACAGGCTGATCACCCTCAAGAAGCCTCCTGGGCCGTTACTATATCCATCAGCTCAGTCTCCAGCCACTGACTACTGGAGACCTTCTCAGGGGTAGCTCGTCCCTGAGGCCCTGCGGGGCGGTAACTAGGCCACACCAGCCTCCCCTCTGAAAAACTGAATAGGTGACCGGTCTCTGAGACCCGCCACCCCCCCACCAGAGTCAGAGTCCAAAGGGATCCTAGCCATCTGGTCACTCACCAGTGGGGAAACTGAGGCCAGATCTCTCCCCCTCACAGCCCCTTCGGAAACCATCCCTGTTGCCCACTGCAATTTACTTCCCCGCAGGGTCTTCTAGAGCCCCGTGCTGCCTTCCACACCCCCCCCCCCAGGTGAGCCAGGCCTGGGGAGGGCTCACCTGCCAGGAGGGCCCCCAGCAGAAGGAGGGCCAGAGGCGGGCAGGCCATGGACGGAGGCAGGGAGGCAGGCGGGAGTCCGCTGTTGTGCAGGCGGTGTTCCAGGTGCTTCAGGACCTCCACGCGAGGGAGGCCGCTGGACCCCGACACGGCATGCAAATCATCAGCCCCCTGACGGGGGGAGGGCGGTGCCATCTCCCCAAAGCCGTGGGGCCTCCTGAGAGCAGGAGCCGGAAATCCACAGGTGCAGTCAGAGCAGGTGGCTGCTTTTCACCGAGGTCTCATGCGTACGGTCACGTGCACAGACCTCACACATGTGGCTCGAGGGTCACACACACACACACACATCCCTGCAGCCTGTACCCAGACCAAACTTTATAAAATCTCCGCCACCCCAGAAGGCTCCCTCAAGTGCCTCCCTGACCTGTAACAGCCCTCCGCACCGTTACAAAGCTCCCACTGTGGGCCCCTCTTTATGGCACCTCTGTGACACTGCGGGCAAAAGGACTCCCCCTGTCAGCTCGAAAGACAGAAACCCCTTGGCGAACAGAGGGGTGGTGACTGGAGCCGAGAGCACAGGCGGGCATCTGGCCGCAGCCGCTCCCTACCGTGCCACAGGTCCCCTGGGGAGAAAGCGCTGGCCTGTGAGTCTGGGAACGCTGCCCCCCGGGCGCCTCTGAGCGCCTGCTGCGGTGGAAGTGCGTCCTCCCCCTAACCTGCCTGCGCGGGGCTGAGGCCAGCGCTTCTCGTCCTTTGTCCAGGTATGAACGCCGAGGGAAGCACAGCAATGCTGGTGGGCTGCGCTGGGATCTGGGCCTCCTCTCTTCTCCTGCGCTGAGCTCTGCCCGCAGAAGGGCACGGCCGGGCGGGCAGGCCCGCTGAGCAGGCATTCTCCTGAGCCCAGAGGCCCGGCCACAGGCAGACGCTGAGGGGCCGTGGCATGGTGCAGCACGCTGGAGGATGCTGGCAGCTTCTTACAAACGGAAACATGCTCTCCCCGGACAGCCCGCACCCCCCTCCCAGGATTTGCCCTCGAGAAAGAGAAATAAATGCCTGTTCACCCAGAGACCTGCAGGCGAGTGTCTGTACTGGCCTTCCTCATCATCACCCCACACGGGAAATGACCCAAAGAGCAGGCGGTGAGCGGATCCACAGACCATGGCCCCTCCAGGCAGGGGGACCCTCCTGGGATGAAGGGAAGGACCCACCGACACAGTGACAACCCCTGTGGATCCCACACGCAGGGAGTGCAAGGCCCTGCCCCGTCGGCCGCCTCCCTCTGCGTGACAGCCTGGCTGGGAGTTTGGGGGGCAATGAGGGACATGTTCTGTATCCTGACTGTGGAGAACACGTCGAAGGGTGGCTGTGAACCGTATGCCAATCATACCTCAATAACAACAGGGGACAGAAGAGGGGGAGGCCGGGAGTGCGCCTGGGAAGGGGGCCTGCAAGGTTGGGGATGCCCCCACCTCCAGGAACCTTCCCCACTCCCCTCCTGGGAGCTCTGTCTCTCCTTGTGGGCGGCGGAGGCGGGGGGTGTGGGCAGTGGTCTCTGGACACCTCTGGGCCCGAGGCTCCAACCCCTGCTAGAGCCCTGCACTGGGAATGCCCGGACCCCCTGCAAATGCCGTTACCCAGATACTGGGGGGAAGGCATTTCCTGCTCAGACCTCTTGGCAGCTCCCACTGTCATGGAAACCAGCTTGGAAGCTGGCTGAGGGGGCAGGGGAGGGAACCTCAGTCTTCTCTGATCCAGCAAGCGGGAGAAGGAGAAGGCCGAGGACCCTGGATTAGCTGCAGAGAGTCCCTGGGCTGAGCAAGGAGCTCCGCTTGAGCCTACCCACCCATCACCCCCTTGACCAGCATCTACCCAGGGCCCACCCTGCAGTCCAGCTCCACCCCAGCTCCTTCCCCAGGTGGGAAGTTGAGGGTCCGAGGGGTCTGTCCCCACCATGGCCATGTTTATCATGGTGATGTTCGGAGGTAAGTCACAGGGGGTCCCCTGTGCTGGCAGATGGGTGGGGGTACGTTCCCTCTGCCTTGTGGAGGGGGGAGAACGAGGAGGCAGTGTGGGGAAGGGGGTGCCCATGGGATGAGTCTGGGGGGAGTTGCTTGAGGAAAATCCCCGCCCAGGCTGGGTCCTGGGCGAGGCAGGCAGGCTCCTCCGGGCCACACAGCTGCCGTGGCGCCGCTGGGGGAGCGTGTGTTCCAACTGCCCCATCTCTTCGCTGGCCAGGGGTCCTGCAGCTCTCGGGGGCATGGGGCACCTGGCCTTCTGGTGGGGGGGCTGGTGCGGGATGGGGGTGGGGGGCTGCATGGTGGAGGCAAGAGTCGTTCAGACGTCTGGGGAAATGGAGTGGGGTACATTCCTGACCCCGTAGGCAGGAGGGAGGCAGAGCATCCGGTCTGGGGGGAAGGGTGGGTGCCATGCACCCACCTCCAACCCTCTCCCGCAGCTGGCTGCTGGGAGCTGGTGAACATCTGGTGCAGCCTCGGGACCCTCACCGCCCACCTGAGGCAGAGGTGCCAGGTGCCCCCTGACGGTGAGGGGGCAGCAACGGGTGCTGGAGGGCCAGCTGAGGGCCCCCCCACCCTGGCAGGGGAAGTATCATCCCTGCCCTGCCTCCCTCTCCACCCTCCCAGCAATCATCGCCCTGCTGGCTGAGGACGGGCACCTGGTCAACCTCGTGGAGGGGCTGGAGAAGGGGCCTTCCCCGGCGCCCTCCGTGGCCAGCCCCCCGCTGCAGGAGCGGGGAACCTATGTCCTGGTGCAGATCATCAGTAAGTGGGGTCCAAGATTCACGCCCCCCTGCAGTGACGTTGGAATATAAGAGAGACAGCATCCACGGGGCACCCATGCCCTGCAGAGTCCCCAGCCTGGCCAGGACCCAGCCCTGTCCTTCCCATCCAGTGCCCTGTCCTAAGCCCAGGCAGGGGGGTAAACATGTCCAGAGTTGGGGGGGCGCTGAGGACCACCAGCCAGCCAGTGATCAGACTCCCTCCCTCCACAGAGGGGGAGGGAGGGGACCCCATGCTCCCTGGGCTGAGCAAGGAGCTCCGCTTGAGCCTACCCACCCATCACCCCCTTGACCAGCATCTACCCAGGGCCCACCCTGCAGTCCAGCTCCACCCCAGCTCCTTCCCCAGGTGGGAAGTTGAGGGTCCGAGGGGTCTGTCCCCACCATGGCCATGTTTATCATGGTGATGTTCGGAGGTAAGTCACAGGGGGTCCCCTGTGCTGGCAGATGGGTGGGGGTACGTTCCCTCTGCCTTGTGGAGGGGGGAGAACGAGGAGGCAGTGTGGGGAAGGGGGTGCCCATGGGATGAGTCTGGGGGGAGTTGCTTGAGGAAAATCCCCGCCCAGGCTGGGTCCTGGGCGAGGCAGGCAGGCTCCTCCGGGCCACACAGCTGCCGTGGCGCCGCTGGGGGAGCGTGTGTTCCAACTGCCCCATCTCTTCGCTGGCCAGGGGTCCTGCAGCTCTCGGGGGCATGGGGCACCTGGCCTTCTGGTGGGGGGGCTGGTGCGGGATGGGGGTGGGGGGCTGCATGGTGGAGGCAAGAGTCGTTCAGACGTCTGGGGAGATGGAGTGGGGTACATTCCTGACCCCGTAGGCAGGAGGGAGGCAGAGCATCCGGTCTGGGGGGAAGGGTGGGTGCCATGCACCCACCTCCAACCCTCTCCCGCAGCTGGCTGCTGGGAGCTGGTGAACATCTGGTGCAGCCTCGGGACCCTCACCGCCCACCTGAGGCAGAGGTGCCAGGTGCCCCCTGACGGTGAGGGGGCAGCAACGGGTGCTGGAGGGCCAGCTGAGGGCCCCCCCACCCTGGCAGGGGAAGTATCATCCCTGCCCTGCCTCCCTCTCCACCCTCCCAGCAATCATCGCCCTGCTGGCTGAGGACGGGCACCTGGTCAACCTCGTGGAGGGGCTGGAGAAGGGGCCTTCCCCGGCGCCCTCCGTGGCCAGCCCCCCGCTGCAGGAGCGGGGAACCTATGTCCTGGTGCAGATCATCAGTAAGTGGGGTCCAAGATTCACGCCCCCCTGCAGTGACGTTGGAATATAAGAGAGACAGCATCCACGGGGCACCCATGCCCTGCAGAGTCCCCAGCCTGGCCAGGACCCAGCCCTGTCCTTCCCATCCAGTGCCCTGTCCTAAGCCCAGGCGGGGGGGTAAACATGTCCAGAGTTGGGGGGGCGCTGAGGACCACCAGCCAGCCAGTGATCAGACTCCCTCCCTCCACAGAGGGGGAGGGAGGGGACCCCATGCGCTATGAGTCCCTCCTGGAGAACCTGGATGCGTGGTGTCCAGAGCTGGCTGGTGAGTGTCACAGGAGAGCCTGGGGGTGGGGGCGCCTGCCCACCCGCGCACTCAGGCAGGGCATCCTGATCCTCACAGAGGAGCTGCGCTGGCGGTCGGGCCTGCCCCCCCAGGGTGACGGCCGGAGGTGGCACCTGGGCACTCAGCGTGGCCACCAGGAGCAAGGCCCTCCTTCACGGCCCCGAAGGGTGGGCTCCCTGCTGTCCTGCACCCAAGAGCCGGGGCCTGGAGCCAGGTAAGGAAGAGACATGGACCCCAGAGGGGCTGCTCACGCCCAGAAATAGGACCCCCCTCCCAGGGGACGGATGGATGTGTGTGCTGAGAGGTGGACCACAATGTCAGCCTCCCTCGGAGACACGCTGTACCCGAGGACAGGCCCCCATCAACCCGCTGGGGGCTCGGTGACGGGGGGACGTGGGACAAGGCCTGGTACACAGTGGGTGCTCCGTGCAGAGACACTGAACGAACTCAGCGGAGGCAGCAGCTCCGAGTGCGCAATGGCATTTGAAGGGCCTGCTCCTCTGCCGGCAGGCCCCGTGAACTGGCACATCACGGCCAAGTGGCCGAGCCGGACTGAGATCCCAAGGGGCTGGCCGTGACCTCTGCTCGTGTGGTCAGGTGAAAAGGCCCGAAGCATTCCTCCTGCTGAATCTGCGATTATGGGGAAATTGCATCAGCAAGAGGGGCAAGGTCACCGACAGAGCATGAGGCCACCGTGGGGCCCCCAGAGACAAGAAGGGTGGAGGGGCGGGGGTCCCTGAGAGGAGGCAGCATGCTCCTCCGGGGTCTCCAGCTGGCCAGAGTCGGATGCCCTTGAGGCTTGAGGTCAGTAGTTAATGCCTCACCATCCGGTCAGCGCTGCCTATAGGATTACGCAGGATAACAAGGGCGCCCTCCGCACCTGGGACAGCAGCTGAAGGGTCGGCACCCCACCCCGCAGCAGGAATTCCATCTCCCACCACCCTGCCCCCTGCAGACAGTCCAACAAGAGGGGACACAGCAGGCTCGGCTAAAATAAAGGCTTTTAATTGCACGTTTTCATCTCAGATCATCTGTGAGGTGAGGGACCCCCTCCTCACTCCGGGTCCCAGCTCAGTGGGTACAATCTGACGTCGTGGTCTGGCTGTTGGTGGGAGGGGGGTGAAGGTGAGTGCAGGGCTGGCCACCCAATCTGCTCTGGTCTCTTAGGGCAGGGAGCTCAGACCTGTAGAGAGAGGAGGTCAGGCTGAAGGTACAGGAGCACCCGGGAGGCATGGGAGCATCCAGGAGGAGCGGGAGCACCTGGGAGGAGGAGCACCCAGAAGGAATGGGAGCATCAGGGAGGCATGGGAGCACCCAGGAGGAGCAGGAGCACCCGAGAGGCATAGGAGCACCTGAGAAGCATAGGAGCACACAGGATGAGTGGGAGCACCCAGGAGGAGTGGGAGCACTCAGGAGGAGCAAGAGCACTCGGGAGGAGTGGGAGCACTCGGGAGGAGTGGGAGCACTCGGGAGGAGCAAGAGCACTCGGGAGGAGCGGGAGCACCTGGGAGAAGTGGGAGCACCTGGGAAGCATAGGAGCACCCGGGAAGCGCGGGAGCACCCAGGAGGAGCAGGAGCAGTGAACCGCCCCTCCTGCCCCGGGGCCGGGCAGGCAGCGGGCACTCACCGTGATTGTACTTGCACTGCTTCAGGGCCTCGCTGAAGCCCTCGCACAGGGTCAGGTCGCTCTGGGTGGTGGAGCAGTCCAGGAACTGCCTGATCTCATAGGCGCAGGGCCCCGTCTGCAGGGGCGGCGGGGCAGCGCGCGCCGGGGCCTGGGGCACAGCACAGGAGGCAGCTGGGTCAGCTCAGGGTGGAAACCCCGGAGAGGACTCCAAAGCTGGGGGTGGGGGCTGCCCCTCCGCAGACCCCTGGCTCTGATGCCTCAGGGGTCCCTAGCAGGCAGTGTGCCCCAGGTCTCAGCGGCTCCATCCCTGAAACAGGGTGAGCCCACAGCCCTCTCGAAGCCCCTGCCACTGCTGCGGTGGTGCAGGAACCAGAGCAGGTGGGGCGGGAGGTGGGACATGGGTCTAGAAAAGCCCAGGGCGCTGCTGCTTTGAGCTCCAGGCCGACAGGTTCTAACACCTTCCTGGCTCAGCCACGCTGATCCTCGTGATCCCTGACCCCATCACTAAGCCCAAATGTGGCTCAGGACTGGTGTGGTGCCCAGTGGGGGACAGGTCAGCAGGCCCAAACTCACTGACTACCAGTCACCCCTGGGTGCAGGAAGGGGCCTCCTGGAGGATGGGGGGTGAGGGGAGAGCGGGCATTCAGGAGCTCTAACAGCCCTCCCTTCTACTAGGGTTGGGCAACTTTGGGCCGTCTGTGACCCCAAGGGCCTCGGTTTCCCCATCTTTAAAGAGCTGGGTTGGTGTCTGTCTACGGGGTTCTAGGGACCTTGGCCACAGGGGATGGGTTGAGAGAGCCTGCCTGTGAGTGACCCGAGGCCAACAGCTGAGTGACCAGTAGGACCCTTCTTGGGGCGGCTCTGGACTGGCGCATCACCCCGCGCTGTGTCGGGCCTCATCTTCCTCTGAGCCCTTGCTCACCTGCTGGGCGGCAGGCTGGGCGGGCTCTGAGCTCCCCCCACTGAAGGCTCCGGTCAGGGCGCTGCCCACGACGTGGCCCACAGCCGAGCCCACGGCCACTCCGGCGGCGGTGGTCGCCATCTGCGCCATCAGGCCGGGCTGGCCCGACGGGGCGGGGGCCGGGGCCGCGGCCGTCCCCGCCGGCGGGGCGGGGCCGGGGCGGGACCGCGGGGACACGCCCCCTTCGGGAGGCCTTGGGCCCGATCACGCGGCACCCCCGCGGGTCCCCGGCTTCTCCCTCGGCAGCTCCGGTGGTCGGTGAGCCTGCGCCCTCCTGGCCGCCGGCCCGCGCTGTGTGCGCCCTAGGGAAACGCAGCCGCTGTGGCAGGGCGCGGAGGGCGCACGCAGGGGCCACGGGACGGTCCTTCAAAGGCCGCGTCGGAACGTGGCGAGCCGAACCACGGGCGATCTGGCGATCGGCCGAGCCCTGCTCCTGCCCCTTCCGTGGGGCCGGGCTCGCTGGCTCCTGCGTGGCCCCAGGGTCGCGCGTGGACTGGGGCGGATACAAAGCATGCACCCCTGTCTGCCCCGAGCAAGCCTCGCACGACTGCTCACAGAGCACCCACCAGGAGGCGTCCGGTATCCCGCCCCCACCACCACTTCGGTTCAGTTCAGTTCAGTTGCTCAGTCAGGTCCAACTCTTCGCGACCCCACGGACTGCAGCACCCCAGGCTTCCCTGTCCATCACCAACTCCTGGAGTTTACTCAAACTCATATTCATTTAGTCGGTGTTGCCATCTAACCATCTCATCCTCTGTTGTCCCCTTCTTGTCCTGCCTTCAATCTTTCCCAGCATCAGGGTCCTTTCCGATGAGTCAGTTCTTTGCATCAGGTAGCCAGAGTATTGGAGTTTCAGCTTCAGCATTAGTCCTTCCAATGAACACTCAGGACTGATTACCTTTAGGATGGACTGGTTGGATGCAGTGCCAGACCCTGACCATGTTTATCCAGCGTGTCCTTTCCAAAGGCCGTCCCCTGCTGGCCTAGGGGCATTGCTGCAGGTTTGAATTCTGTGGCCTCGAATTTTACCCCTTGGTTCCAAGTCCAGGGCAGGGCCATCCAGATTCAGGACGCTTCCCAGCCATTCAGGAACAGCAGGTTTTCACGGTTTTCATTTTTTCTGAATGAGTTCTGAGTGGTCATATCGGTGCCCTTGGCGGGGTGGGCTCCCGACTTTCCTATCCCCACATCACGGTTCCCTACCCCCAAGGGAGGGCTCCTGGCACCGGGACTGCGGGGAGGATGAAGTCAAGAGCAGAAGCATCGGGTGGGGGGCTCAGGTGGGGAGAGGAGGCCCCTCTGTGAGGAGGGGAGGGCAGGCAAGCAGGGAACCGGGGCACCGGCAGTGTCTGGCAGGCTGGATGATGTCACGACTGCGTCCCGACCACACAGTCCTTTCAGCCAGCCCGGGAGGCAGGGTCCTCCCCTGAGCCCCATCTGGGCCTGGGCTTCAGTTTTCTCCCCTTTGCAATGGGGTGACCATTTGCCTCCAGGAGAGGGGAGCGTGTAGAGGTGGCCACTCTCTTCTTGCAGACATGCCAGGCCTGGGCCAGCCTCCACCCCTTTGCTCCTGCAGCCCCTGCTGACCTGCTCTTTTTTGCCAAACCGACCCCTCCTGGGCTGATCAGGGTCCCGCTGCTGCAGGAAGCCCTCTGGGACCAGCTCAGCTTGCTATAACTGTGGCTTTCCATGGTGGAAATGTGGAAAGGTTGTTACTAAAAACTCCCATGACTGGTGGATTGCAGGTTCCCAAAACAAGGCCATGCATCCCTGGAGGCACTCAAGACCACTTAAGGTAGTTAAAAATTTTTACTTTATGCATTTTCATGTGTATCAGAAAGAAAAAAAAATGTATCATCAGTTCATTAAATCCATGATTTCTTGACCAATATTGCTAAGATGAGGCTGAAGTAAGCATTTCCATTTTTAAAAAAGTAAATCACTCTGAAGAAACAAATGGAAGGACTTCCCTGAGGGTCCGGTGGTGAAGAGTCCATGCTTCCAACGCAGGGGGCATGGGTTCGATCCCAGATCAGGGAACTAAGAGCTCACATGCATTGCAGCCAGGCCAAAAGTTTTTAAAAGGAAGAAAAAGATGGCAAACGGCCTAGGGAGTGAAAAACCACAGCAGTCTTCCCTCTGCTCGCCCTCTAGGGGTCTCTGTGGAGCCTCCCTGGAGAGGCCGCGGCGGCTCCGGGGACTGGAGGGGGAGGAGGGGTTGAGTCCGCCGGTGGCCCTCCCCTCGCTGCCCGTCCCCTCCCTTTTCAGGCCCAGCCTCGCCCTGCGGCGGCTCAGGGCCCGGCCCGCCGGGACGGGGGCCGCCGTGTCCCGGCTCCCCGGGGGTCAAGCAGACTGCCTGCGCACGGGGTCACCACAAGGGCTGTATGACCCCTTCCCAGTGTGGTCAGACCCCTCCCTCTGACTCTCACAGACGCGTCCTCGCCTCAGGAGGCTGGCCCTGAGGGCCTCTGAGGAGCCTGCTCGTCAGGCCAAGGGGCGGCGTGGGGTCCCCAGCGCCCCGCACAGACACTGCCTTCTGACCGCCTCCTCCCAACAGCTGACCTGAGAAGAAGGCCTCCCGACCCCTCATCCTGCCCGGCGGTTTGGAAAAAGCCTCATCTGGCCCCTCTCTCCTGGGGCCTCAGCCTCCTCCTCTGTGAACTGGCGGATTCTGCCAAGCTGACGTCCTGGCCAGCCGCCTCCCCGTGGCTCAGGGTCCCCGGGACACAGCTGGATGTCCCTGCTCGGGATGCACCTTCCCAAGTTGGGCCTGTCAGGAGGCGGGGGCGAGCAAGGAAACTCGACTCCTCTCAGACGGCCCATCGCGCTGGGGAAACTGAGGCCCGGAGCAACGGCACCCCCTGGCCAGGGTCACCCGCCAGCACCCCCTCCTCCCCGTCCCTCCGGGCCTCCGAGACCGCAGCCCGGCACGCCGCGGGAAGGACCGGATCTGCGGGCCGGGCCACCCCCCCTCCCTGGCCGCCGGCGCGGGGCGAGTGCAGAACAAAAGCGGGGGCGGGGCCGGGGCGGGGGCGGGGCTGAGGCTATCCCGCCGCCCAGCAGCCCCCGGCCCCGCCCCGCCCTCCACGCCGAGGGGCGCCGGCCGGCAGAGCTGGACCCATGGGGGCGTCCGGGAGTGGCCCGTTACCCTGAAACGCTGTCTGGGTGCCCCGGGGGCGTTATGGATAGTGAGCTTCCCGTCCCCGGAGGTATGCAAGTGGAGCCGGCGTCGGGATTGCTTGGACTGGCTGGTGAGCGGGACTCGGTCGGACGCTAGACGCACGCCACCACCCGCCCAGCTCCGGGACCTGCCCCCTCCGCACCCCCCGGCCGCTATCCTGGGTGTGTGTGTGTGTGTTGCAGGGGAGGGACAGCGGGAGTGGCTACAGGGCTCCCGACACACCATAGGGACAAAGACCCGTGGGTCTCCAGCTGGCGTCAGCCGCCAGGTGTGTGGCCTCGGTGAGCACGCCTCCAGACAGGAGGGCGCGAGGGGTCTGAGCCTGGCGGAGACAGATGCCACCGCCTGGGACCTGTGAGTGGCAGGATCGGGAGGCCGCGGAGCCGGGAGGCAGCCGGAGCGTGAGAGCTCCGGATTGCCCCAGCGGGGCCGGTGACAGGGGGGACGCCCCTGTGTGTGCCAGCCTGCATGTGCCCTGAAGGCTGCGCCCTCCCCAACAGCTGGGGCTTCGGGGGACCAGTCACAGCCTGGGCTACTGCAGGCACATAGCTCCCTGGGTGCCTGGCCCGCTCGGGCGTGCCGCTGAGCTTCCAGCCTGACCGGGCAGGGACGGGGGGCAGAGATGGGGTTGTTAGCGGGGATGGGGGCGGGGGTGCAGGCAGACTCTCAGGGGACAGCTCTGGGGACAAGGGAGGTCTGGCCAGCCTGGGCCCCTCTGTCCAGCCACGCCAGCTCTGCCCTGGCCAGTCTTGCCCCCTGGCAGCGCTGGGGATGGAAGGGGTGGTGGGTACCTATGTCCAGGGGCCCTGCCTCCTCCCCAGCCCCGCCCGGCCCCCTAGGCCTGGGGGCAGAGTCTAGGGGTCACCCTGGGGAGCTGCTGAATCCGCGGGTTTAGGAAGCAGAGGGATCTGGGCTTTTGAACCACATGGCCCTAGGTGAGCCCTCCGGCGCCTCGGTAGCCCTCACCCCCAGCCTTGTCCAGTGGGCGGGTGGGAGGCGACAGTGCCCACTGCCGGGCCAAAGAGCATCTGCAGGGAGGCCAGGAGAGCTGGGCACACGGACACATTCCGTCACCTGGAGCTGCCACTGTGCCGCTTGTGCGGGGTCAGGTGGGGTCTGAGCCGGGCTGCTGTCTGTCACCCTGCAGATATGCAGGGGGCACTCAGGGTCACCTCGGACGTGCTTATCCCTGGACTGCTGTTGGCAGGGCCAGGAAGGCTCTGTAAATATTTATCCATCCCAGCTCACAGCTTTCAGGGTTGATGAAAGCCCCGCCGCCCGCCCGCTGTGGGGGACCCCGCCTTCCCTTCTGGAACCAGCAAGGGAGGTGGGGGAGGGAGGAGATGGACCTGCCTGCCCAGGAGCAGGCAGTGTGACTCGGGCGGGTCACTCAACCTCTCCGAGCCTCAGAGAGGCCCGGGATGGTGTGCGGATGCTCCCTGCCTTCCTTTCAGCCGGCAGCGTCCTCCCCTTGGGGTCGCCTCCTGCCCACCGCAGAGGGGGTGGCTATGGGGACCTGGGCCAACGGCAGGCAGGCTGGGGAGGGCACACCCAACCCAGCCGTGCCCAGCGCTTCCCAGTCCGGGGGCCCCCTCACTCCCAACCGCTGGCTGCCTCCCATTTTCCCGATTGCAGGTTGACCCCTGCCCAAGTGATTCCTCAAGGATGTGTGAGGCTGTGGTGTGGTGCCCATCGGGGAGAGGTGGGGTGAGCGGGCTGGGCACCCCTGTCCAGGGCAGGCCCAGGGAGACGCTGGCCAACGAGCAGGGAGGACAAGCAGCCATCTCAGGAATGTGGGTTTTGGAGATGAGCCACAGCTTGGGGGTTGGGGGGGGCCGTGGGTGGGGAGGCCTGATCCCCAGGTCTAGGTCCAGCTCTGGGCTCCCTGGCTGTGTGACCCTGGGCCAAGACCTGGACCTCTCTGGGCCCTGTCTTTTCCCCTGGGAGTTGGGGCGATGCCTGCTCCCTAATCCCCCAGGGCTGTGGATGAGGCAGGCGTGGTGTGTGCTCACCCCCACCTCACTGCCTCCCAGCAGCCCCAGGCGGGGTGGGGGGGGACTGGCGCACCCAGGTGAGCGATCAGGCCTCGCAACTAGGGAGAGACCCCAGCCCCAGGCTGAAAAGGACGTGGGGAGACAGAGTGTGCGAGGGTGGCGGGGCAGGGGCATGCGTCCTGTCCCAGCAGTGGGGAAACTGAGGCCAAGACCCTGTGGGTGGTGGGCTCCAGCAAAGGACCTCGCTGCCGTGGGGCCCTGATCGTAGATCCTCCAGGAGTGGTGACCATGACGTGGGCAGGGGACCAGATGCCCGGCTCGCAGGTGGACCCGGCGCAAGTCACTCTTCCTTTCTGGCCCTGAGAGCTTCCTTCCAGCTGCCACTCCTGCGTTCTGATGTCAAGTCTGGAGGCCTGGGGGGGAGGTGGGGGCTGACCGCCAGGTGGGGGAGGGCAGGACTTTGGCAGAGCAGCTTCCCAGAGGGGGAGAAGCCAGCCCGGGGAGGGAACTCCTTCCGTGCCTGCTGCCCCAGAGGGCGTTACAGAGAGAGGTCGGATACCCTTCGTCACGGCCCCGTTCCCACTGGACAGATAGGAGAGTGGAGGCTGAGAGAGGGCTGTGAGTTGCCCAGGGTCTCCGTGGCGTGGAACTGGGCCTTCTGAATCTCAGAGCCAGGGATCTTGCCACTGCACTGAGGGTGCCAGGATGCAGGGGTCCGGGCCTGGACCTAGCACCTCGTGGGGGCAGGAGAGGAAGGCACGGTGGG